TGCTTTTGTACCTAGTTTTGTTTGGCAACAAATTGATGAGTCGAATCACGTACTTCGATTTACCACTGTAAATTCCATTTTACCCTTTAAGGAGTAAGAACCCATGTTTAAGGAATCCATTGTTACTTGCTAATTTATTTTAAGCTACTCATGAGTAGCTACATTTTATCCGAGCTATTTCCTACTCCTGCGTGGTCTGAGCTATGGGTGATTCATGCTTCGTGTATATATTCAGCACTAGTACTAGCGGCGGACAGCTAAATAATGAAATAGAACAGAACAAGAGGATATATTACCACTGAAGTTTCTAAAATGCCTTGTGTAGACGGTATCATTAAACGAATTGACCAACCAGTTTTAAATAGACTAAATTTTGACCAAATAAGGGACGAATAAGGAATGACACAGTATAAAGATCATGTGCGAGACCCTAGGCTTCTGTACACCTAACTGGTCGCGGGACAATGTACATTAGGACACCGTCGTATAGTGGGATCAATTAGTGTCATTGATTAATTCAAAGTAAACACTTTACCAAAACTAACAAGATGTTAACAAGTTCCAGGATTGATATGGCGCTTCAAGGAGATGGGCGTTTTAGTGACACTACAATCTCCTTGACCTCCTTATCCTAAGCCGGCCAGGTAACGAGAGAAGTAGGTCAATTGCAGTACCACGCCTGCCCTGATAAAATGCATTATCTAATTTGGGCGCGGGAAGGGGGGACCGGGAGGCGGGAAAAAAGGGGAAGGGAAGAGGGACCCTGGATAAGGGAGCGGAAAAAAAAAAAGCCGGGGGAGAGAAAAGAGCAGGGGGGGAAGGGTAGGAGGGGAGGAGGGTGGGGAGGAAAAGGAGGGGACGGCCGGAAGGAGGGAAAAGGAGGGGGGAAGGGAAGGGGAAGGAAGGAGGAAGGGACGGAACGGGCGGAGGGGAGGCGGGAGGAAGGAGCTCGGGAAGGAAAGAGAGGGTCTGGAGGAAAGGAGGAAAGGAAAACCCGGAACAGGGAAAAAATGGGGTGGAAGGGGAAAGGAAAAAGAAAACGCGCTGGAAAAAAAAACGGACCGGGGGGGAAAAGAAACGAGGGGGAGGGAAGGAAGAGGAAGGGGAAAAGAGGGAAAGAAAAAAGTAAAAAGGAAGGATAAAGAAGTGGAGGAAGGAGGAGAAAATGGCGGAAACGGAAAGAGCGAGAACGGGAACGGCGGGGCATTCGGGGGGGGGAGGGGGGAAAAGAGGAAAATGAGAAGGAGGGTACGGGAACGCCGGAGGAAAAGGGGGAAGCGAAAAAAAAAATCGTGATAACGGAGCGGACGGGAAGGGAAAAGGGAAACGGAGGACTCGGGGAAAAAGAAGGGGAGGAGGGATAGGAGGAGACTTCGGACCCAGGGAACGGGAAGGAGAAAAGAAGCGGGCGGAACGGGAAAAGGTGGAAAAAGGAGCGGCAGGGGAGGAAGGGGAGCCGGAATCGGAAAAGCTGAGCGGGATGGCGGAAGAAAAGAAGACAAGGAAGAGAGGAAAGAAACGGAATGGGCTGGAAAAGAACGGGAAGGGGAAAACGGGAAGGAGGCGGAGTGCGGAAAAGGAAGGAAAAAACGGAGGAAGCGGGGAGTCGGGCGGGGACCGTGGAGAAAAGAGGGAAAGGGAACGGAGGAAGGAAAACCGGGGCGGAGGGAACCCGGAAGGAAAGGGAAGGAAAATACCAGGACCGGAATACGGTGAGGTAAAGGAACGGACGGAAGCGGGGAAGAAAAGGGAAAAAGCGAGGAATAACGGAAATCGGAAGGGAAAACCGGGAAAAAAGGGGAATGGGAAGGAAAGTTGGAAGAAAAACGAGAAAAGGGGACGCCCGGAAGGGAGGAAAAAAAAGGGGGAAGGAGCGGAACGGAAGGGGGAGGAAGGGAAGAAAAAAGGAGGAGGAAAGACGGAGGAAGGATGCGGAGAAGGAGAAGGGGAAACCGTCCGGAAAGGGGAAGGCGGGGGAGGAATGGAACGGGAGGGGGAGGGGGGGGAAAGTCGGGAAACGGAAAAAGGAACGGAGAAAAATAAAAGGAAAAAAACGCGGAAAAAAACTTACGGGAGGAAGAGCGGGGAAGGAAGGGAAAAAATGGGAAGGGGCGAGGGGGAAAAAAAAAACGGGGAAGGAGCGGTGAAAAAAAAGAAAAAAACATCCGGAAAACGTCGACTGGTGAAGCGGCCCTGGAGGAAGGGAGAAAACAGGAAAGGGGAAACGGAGGGAGGAAAGAAAGGGACGGGGATAAAACTGGATGGAGGGCGGGAAAAGGAAAACGGACAAGCGGAGAATAAGCGGAAAAAAGCGAAAAAAAGGAAGGGGGAGGGGAAGGAAAGGGAAAAGGAGGGGAGGGAAGGTCGGACGAGGGGAGAAAAAAGGAAAAGAAACGGATGGGAAAAGGGTGAGAAGCGGGAGGGGCCCGGAAGAAAGGAAATTGGGAGAAAAAGGAAGGACGGGAAAAAAACGGAAAGGAGAAAAAAAAGGGAAGAACGGAGTGAGAAAAAGGGGGAAAACCGGATGGGGTAAAATGAAAAAGGAGGGAAAAAATACCTGAGAAGCGTCTACTGACTTCTGCGATTGGTTTTTTCATGGGAGGTTAACACGTAAGATCACTTAATGTCACTCTTAGGTATCTTACTGAGTTGGGAAATTTAACTTTTGCAATGGGTACATAGTTGCACTCACTGGCTGAAGATTTACTGCTTGCAGTTTACTGTGAACAATGAACGAAAACAACCTTGCACTTTGAGTTTTCAGAACTAGGCAACAAGATTGGGAACAAGATGGGTCTATACTTTGACAGATGACAATGTGGTTAGATGACGGACATACAGAATTGCGTCATACGCATAATTCAGTGGAATGGCATCTTCAGAGGCGAGGACTGGGAGGCAACCTAAATTGAAAATAGGGATGGCAGTGATGGCTTTAACCGGACACTATAATCAGTAATAATTGGAACGGTGGATTTAATGGGAATAAAATCTCTAGTTTTACAAGAACCATAGGGTAAATAAAATACGGGTCGGGTTTGATGAAAGGCCAGGCAAGCCTATAGCAGTAGTATGATTAAGTTTTTCCACGACAGCCCGCTAAAACGGGTAGTCTTTTTATAATTATCGTTTAGTAGAACAGATGCAGAAACGCTTAACTTATGAACCTAGCAGATCATGCGATAGTTTTGAACGTTGCGTATACCAGAAAGCATGGTTATTGTTAAGGAGGCAGACGTGTGTAGCCTCTTTTTTATTATCAAGTTATGGATGCACGAGGCAAGCTACTGCTTCTGTGCTGCGCATTGGTCTGTTAATTGTGAATACGGCCGTTAGGCTACTATTTCAACGATAAGCAAAGATTAAATTATGAAGCGGCTTGCGTGATACACTGACCACTTATTGAACATTTGTACTAATTAAAATGTAAAGAATAATAGTTCAAAGTTGAGTTTAATAAGTTGTATGGACCAGAAGCATCTTAGCTTCAATAGTGAGAAGGTTCATGCTTGCAAGAATGGAACTGAGTGAACTTATTCCAGTAAACAGATCGTTAATTCAACGTTTTCTCAATATGGCAAGTGATTCTCATTAAACAGTGATTATATGCCAATTTGTGGTTAATACCTTATACTGGGTTTTTCGATGAATGGTTAATTCCTTTTATCGTTGTGGTACTCTTAGGTAAACAGGAAACAGGGTTCATAAAGAGCAGTGATGCTTTACTGTCTGAGAGTCAACTAAATGATCAACAACTTGACTACCACCGAACCCAGGCGAATGCGTCTAAATATGACGTACCACGAAAAGGATATGGCAAGACGCTAGCATATTGTAATTACATGGAAGGTAGATGGCTTATCCCCACACAGCAGTTTCTGAAGAGACAAATAGGAACGTAAACAAGAAAAACCCTCGGCAGTAATGCGTTTTTGAATCGATAGTGAGGGAATACTAACTCCTCTATGATTTATCTTCCACACCACACCCGTTTTGAGTAGACCGTTAACTATGTAACAAAAAAGCAACTGGACATATGGAAGAAAGACGTTGTGGCTTAATGTTCTAAGTGCCATTAAACAGTCACATACAACTCAAATAGAAGAAAATGCCTATACAATCACTTGCATTGAAGCAGAATTTTCTAAATTTGAGTACCTTTGCATCATATGAATGCTAATTAATGCTTGAAATTCCGCTAATTATTTACAATCAATTACGAGAAATGGATTATCGGTAAACCTTGATTTGACAGTTACAACTGCATCTAGCATATAATTGTTGCCACATTTCCGTTTGCTCCCGGTGAAATTGGTCGGCAGCAGTCGACATTTAGTGTATATAATTTAGCCTCTTTTAAATAGATAAGTTTTATACCTTGTATTCTCATTTTATTGCTCTCTACTTAAATTCCATATTTTTCTGCATTTCTTTGTCAATTCGCTGCGCCAAGAGTTAAAGCACCGGTCATTTTTTCACCTCAATTCATGATTTGATTCTCTTGATAGCTATCTGAAAATGCGCCAATGTGAGTGACCATTCCATTCCGATTACTTCATTAGGACGCTTGTTGTAAGGACAAATAGTATCTGCTATATTCCTAATACAAACTATATGAGGGAGAAAGTTTAATTTCTAGTGTGCATTAGGTGGAAATGCATTTCCTTTCTTTGTCCGTAAAATGCTCTCAAGTCAATGTGATTTTGCCGGTCGAATAGAAAGTATATTGACAACGTATAAGTTGAACCAGGCAAGGTGACTCTGTCTAAGTGTGTGTAAATGTTTCGGCGTGCAAGTTGCCGCTATTCATTTAGTCCGTCATTTCAGCGGCAATTGTTGAATGTGTGTAAAAAGTATGGTGTTAAGCGTAGTAATTTGTCCATATATCTTTTTCTTTACCATCTATTTGGCAACAATTAACTGATGTGCCTCCAACAGAATATTCACTCTTACACCCCAGTCTTCATGCCGCCATAAGATCCGAACGATCTTCAACGAACCTGCGTTCATCTGTGAACAAGTTGTTTTGCCGCCGTTCTCAGTTGCATTTTGTCACACAAACGTGTATTCACACTCATTCGACCCAGATTCATCTGCCTTATCTAGTGCACTCCACCTTTCGTACCTAGCTTGTGTGGATGGTTTTTTATCTTCACACTGCGGTTTTTTGTGCTATTCACGCAAAAGCACAATCGAGGAATTTCCCTAAGCACATACCCCACAGAAAGATTTGTGGTCTCAAACGAAAGGCAACTACACGTATCATCTGCATAATCAGCAAGCACAGCGATGGACCGATCATCAAAGTAGCTATCGTACACTTTATTTCCATATCGCTCGGTCGCTCTGTTTACTGTGTGATCGATCTAGCTGCTTAAACCTGCCCCGGCCAGACGCACGGACGGCGACGACCTTGAACATGCCGACAATTCAACGCACATGCGACCGGCTGAAAATCATAAGCGCTCGGGCCTCTCTGGGATTACAATCGAACGACGCAATGGATCGTGGCGACCAATCAAAAACCTATGTTACTGCATCCAGATCGACAGTAGTTTGTGGCCCTCCTTCATGCCATACAAAGTTACTGATCACTATTCAATGTAGCAGTTGCCAAGGCGAGTTCCATCGAAAATGTTCCAAACCAATTTAAGCTACACAATAGTAAACCAGATTCACTCTGGTTCCGTTCAGTATGTATAGTCATCCCACTGGTAAAGATTGTGCGTGAACTATCGCAGAAGTGCGAAATACTAACAGCAATGTTTGTTTATTTGTAGGAAGTATGATAGAGAGTAAAGCGCGGGCATTGTCACCCAGCACCGCAAGAAAACCGAGCAAGAAGGCTAGGCAGCGAGATAAAGATGTCTCGTCTGTGGCATTAAACTTCAATACTACCAGTTGCTCAAATATGCCTGAAACAACCATCGCCAGTCCGATTGCACGGTCACAGCCTCGTCTACCCACCAAACGGTTCCGAAAATTCAGAAGAGCTTCGATACCAGTGGTGGCTGGAACTTGGTTGCTACCAAAAGAGACCGGAAACCTATATATTCGGCCCTTCCCACTGGACCCATATTAAATGAAGGAGACGAAGCTGTACCCAAACAGCCTCCATCGACTGCATACAAACCAGCTGGTTAATTGACCACAACCAGAGTTGCACGTAGCATACCAGGGGTAATCTGCACCAACGTTCCAGAATCGACGTCAAATTTCTTAAAAAGAAAGACAACTCAATGACGTGAACCAGTGGAACTCCATAGGTTACATCATAGGTGTTGTAACTAAGCCCGTAAATTTAACACGCGTTAACCGTTAACCAAACTCACAGCACTACGGAAAACCAAAACTTCTCCGAGTTGTGCTGCTGACTTCTGCCAATGAAGCAGAAGCTGTCCTGTTCGCGATAGCTCGCCTCCGGAATGGGTCATTTTCCATCCCCCTATTCACGGATATTCCGTGGAGCAAGCGCAGACAGGCGGAGCACTACTTGGACGAAAACCGGAAGGAATTTGTAGCCAAGACCATCCTTGTACACAGTGTTCCCGAGGCTGAAAGTCAGGACGAACGCGAAGCGGACATTCACGACCAGGAACACTGGCGATACATTCGCGAGTCCCTCGCCCTGAAAAACGTCATAACATAATCTATCTCCGGGCTGCGGCGATCTCCAAACTATAAAGGATGTGGCCCGAGGATTCTGAAAATGATCCTTCAATTTAGATAAATGTCAACACTGGTGCTGGAGTGTTGGTATGTGGGCCGTAGCAACCTTCCTTCAGAGCTCCGAATCAAAGCAGTAGCTGCTAAGCAACCACACGAGAGAAGCCACTTAGTCAGACCAGTTACCGACAAGAGTTCGGATAACTTTAATCAACCAACCAACGAAACTGGCAAACACACCCCATACATTGTATACAAAGAGAGAAACAAAGAAGTAATGGTATGATGCATGAATCGGATACAGATGAGTTCGTCATTCCTCCATTCAAAAAACGATTAGTGGCTGACCATTTGCTGATCGGCGTTACGTTTTATCCGAAACACCCATCCCACGATTCATTGCGAAAAACAGAGAAAGCATCTTGCATGTGCACCAGTGCCCAAGGTCTTTTGAAATAGCTTGCCGAACTGCGGCTACGTCACATGCCTGAGACCACATGCTCCTTACGGAAACCTGGTTACACTCA